ACGTTGGAAGCCAAGAGAGGAGAAAAGGAGGAGGACATGGCAAGGCCAGAAGACACCAGGCAAGGAGTGGGAGGGGACCCTTGTCATAAACTTTATCAGCCAGAATCTGGGCCCCTGAAAGAGAAGGATGCAGAAAATTGGCATAACAAACCTGTGCAAAAAGACAAGGCAGATGCAATTGTGAAATCATCCAGGAGCCAAATACAGCCTAAGAAGAGACCCTTGGATCCCAATTGCAGAGGCCAGAAGTCCTCTGGACCTGCTCACAGGTACTCATACAGTACTGAGCAGTCATCCAGGAACTAGTATTTGACTCTGTTGCCTTAATAGTTAATTTGTTCTGAAGAGGACTCTGATTTATTTGGAAGAGTTGTTAGGGCATGGCTAAAAACAAAGACAAATTTGAATTATGAGCAGTTTGAATTTAATTAGTACCAAGATAATTTTCTGACACTAAGAATTTGCTTTTTTCTCTTTTCCTTCTCATAACCAGTCATTAAGTGAAAGTTAATTTTTAAACAAGTGTAGGTATATTTATGTAAAGCCTTAGCTTAGAGTTTCTCAACTGATGAAAACAAATTTTATATATACATTTTTTCTTAATTTGGAATTTGATCCATTATTTATTTCATTTTTCTTCTTCTTCTTCTTCTTCTCTCTCTTTCTTTTAACAAACTTCCATGCTTACTCTAAAGAGCCTACAGGTGAACAAACAGACCTACCTGTACTTTGGTCTTTCAGTCTTACACAGCAGGAAAATAAATCACTGGGAGAAGTCAACAGAAGTCTATTTTTAACATTATTTAATTTTGCTAATCTTTGGCACTTTAAGCCTTTTTTTTTAGAGAAAATTTCAATAACCTTTTAAAGGTTAGTTATTAAGTTTGAGGTAGAATATTAGCATCGTGTGTGATGATTGCATAAAAACATTTTTTCCTTCTGCTATTTCTTTCTTCAGTGTTTCAAAGGAAATAGCAGAGGACATAAACAGATGGAAATCCATACCATGCTCGTGGATCAGCAGACTCAATATTGTTAAAATGTCTATACTACCCAAACTGATCTACAGATTCAATGCAATCCCTATTAAAAGCCCAACATCATTTTTCACAGATATATAAAAAATAATTTTACATTTTCATTTGGAACCAGAGAAGACTCCATATATGAAAAGCAATTCTAGGCAATAAAAACAAAATGGGAGATATTAATATGCCAGATTTTAAACTATAATACAAAGCTGTAGTAATTAAATCAGCTTGGCATTGGCATAAACACAGGGACATTGATCAGTGGAACAAAACTGAGAACCCTGACATAAAACCATCCTCATATAGCCATCTAATCTTCGACAAAGCAGACAAAAACATTCACTGGGGAAAACAATCCTTATTCAATAAATGGTGCTGGGAAAACTGGATAGCCACATGTAAAAGGCTGAAGCAGGTTCCACACCTTTCACCTCTCACAAAAATCAACTCACGCTGGGTAACAGTCTTAAACCTAACGTGTGAAACTATTAGAATTCTAGAGGAAAACGTTGGAAACACTCTCCTAGACATTGGCCTACGTAAAGAATTTATGAAGAAGACCCCAAAGGCAATCATAGCAGCAACAAAAATAGATAAATGGGACCTGATCAAACTAAAAAGCTTCTGCACAGCCAAAGAAACTGTCAAGAGAGCAAACAAACAACCCACAGAATGGGAGAAAAATTTTGCATCCTATGCATCCAATAAGGGGCTGATAACTAGAATATACTTAGAACTCACGAAAATCAGCAAGAAAAAATCAAATTACCCTATTAAAAAGTGGGCAAAGGACTTGAACAGAAACTTTCTAAAGAAGACAGAGAATGGCCAACAAACATATGAAAAAATGCTCAACATCTCTAATCATCAGGAAATGCAAATCAAACCAACAGTGAGATATCACTTAACTCCAGTGAGAAGTGGCTTTATCAAAAAGTCTCCAAATAACAAATGCTAGCGTGGATGCGGAGAGAGAGGAACACATGTACACTGCTGGTGGGACTGCAAACTAGTTCAACCTCTGTGGAAGCATATGGAGATACCTTAAAGTGATACAAGTGAACTCCTACCATTTGATCCAGCAATCCCATTGCTGAGGCATCTACCCAAAAGATCAATGACACTCTTACAAAAAGACGACACCTGCACTCGAATGTTGTATAGCAGCACAATTCATAATTGCACAGGCTGTGGAACAGCCCCAAGTGCCCATCAATCAAGAATGGATTAATAAATGTGTATATGTATACATAAAACCAAAAGAGATACGTTTCACTCTAAGCAACCAACCGTGATATGCAATCTTACTATTTTCCTGGTTAAGGCTGGAACCGCATGCCTAGCTAGTAAGTATCCCAAGAATGGAAAAACAAGCACCACATTATAATCTCCAGCAAACTGGTATTAACGGAGCAGCACCTAAGTGGACACATAGGTACTATGGTAATAGGGTATTGGGCAGGGGGAGGGGGGCAGGTATATACATACTTAATGAGTGAGATGTGCACCATCTGGGGGGCTGGTCATGCTGGAAACTCAGACTTGTGGGGGAGGGGGAAAGGGCATTTATTGAAACCTTAAAATCTATACCCCCATATATGCCGAAATAAAAAAAAAAGACAGAATAATGGCTAATAAACATATGAAAAAATGCTCAACATCTCTAATCATCGGGGAAATGCAAATCAAAACCACAATGAGATATCACTTATCTCCAGTAAGAATGGCCTTTATCAAAAAGTCCCCAAACAATAAATGTTGGCATGGATGCAGAGAGATAGGAACAGTCCTACACTGCTGGTGGGACTGCAAACTAGTTCAACCTCTGTGGAAAGCAATATGGAGATACCTTAAAGCGATACAAGTAGATCTACCGTTTGATCCAGCAATCCCACTACTGGGCATCTACCCAAAAGAACAAAGGACACTTTACAATAAAGACACCTGCACTTGAATGTTTATAGCAGCACAATTCACAATTGCAAAGCTATGGAAACAACCCAAGTGCCCATCAATTCATGAGTGGATTAATAAAATGTGGTATATGTATACCATGGAGTACTACTCAGCTTTAAGAAACAATGGTGATATAGCACATCTTGTATTTTCCTGGATAGAGCTGGAACCCATACTACTAAGTGAAGTATCCCAAGAATGGAAAAACAAGCACCACATACACTCACCAGCAAATTGGTATTAACTGATCAGCACCTAAGTGGACACATAGGAATTACATTTATCGGATATTCGGCAGGTGGGAGGGGGGACGGGTATATACATACATAATGAGTGAGATGTGCACTATCTGGGGGATGGTCACACTTGAAGCTCTGACTTGAGGTGGGGAGGGAGGACAAGAGCATTATACATAACCTTAAAATTTGTACCTCCATAATATGCTGAAATTAAAAAAAAAATTTTTTTTTGTTCTGCAAATGTTTATTGATTAACTTGATGCCAGGAGTTACACCAGGCAGTGAGGGGATACAGTCCCCATTCCTGGGGATTTTATAGACTAATGGGGGCGGGGGAGCATCCTTACACAATTGCATCCCAGAGTCAGAGGCCTTGGGGTGTGCAGTTGCTAATGGGACAACAGCCGTGCTAGTGACTGCCTGTCCCTACAGGGATCTGAGAGGTCTCTCTAGGGCAGGTGATAGCTAATTTGGCTCTTGGAGGATCATTGGGAGATCAGGCACAGAGGGAAGAAGAGCATTCCAGGCAGAAGGAATAATGTGCCAGCTGCATGGAGGCATGGCAGAGCAAGCCTGTCAAAATACAGTGAAAATGTGCAATGCATGGGGCCTGGGGCTGAGTGGAGGAAAGCAAAACCCAGAAAGATGGATTGGTGCCAGTTTAGGAAGTGCTTTCTATGCATACTAAGCCCCTAGGACTTGAACCTTCTTCTATAGGCAGTAGGTGATCCTAGGAGGCTTTTAAGTAATGAGTTTGCATTTTATAAAGACAGTTCTGGGACAGTGCTGTGGGGAGGGGATATCAATGCAGTCCTCTTATTGGCTAGTGCAAGCAATACCAGTCAGTCATTCATTCAACAAATGTTTTTGCATCCAATGTCTATTTGTTAAGCGCCTCTTTTGTGCCAAGTGCTGCCTTTGTGATTTGTATTTCTGCTAGTCTTCCTACTTCATTGTTTTTATGGTCAACAGATTCCCTAAACTTAAAATTTATTTTATTCAAAGTATTTACCCTTAAATAAAGTGGCCTCTGCAAGTTTTTTGTGAAATGCTACAATAGACTGCTGCTTTTGCACCTATATCATAAGCTTCTGCTTGTCATAATTTTTATGAATTCCATTTATAATGAGGGAAATATAGAATATTTGAGCCCCAAAGATCTTAGCTGTTATCTAGGCCGAATTCTTTCTTTTACACAAAAGGAATTTCTGACCCAGAAGGTTGAAGCTCAGTCTCACTTAGCTAGTTAATTCCAGGGCTGGAATATGGGCTATCTGTAAATTTGAGGTTCTTGCTTTATGAGATGTAAAAGACAAGAATTATGATAGCATTGCGTGTGCATCATGTTGGCTGAGGAAAGAGAATTGGCATGACATCTTTCTTGCCTCTACATCTCAGGTTTCTCCACCCTCACCCGGCTTTACTGCTCTCTCAGTCCTGTCTCATGAGTCCTTTATTCACAGTTAACCCCGTGATTGGTTCTCCCAGTGATCTGGTAGGTGGTGAGAATAAGCTGCTCAACTGCCTGAGAAGGTTAAATTTCATTGTCTAATGAGAAACCTTGTTATAGCCCCAACTGCCCACTAAAAATAAACTTGTGAGAGTTGTAAAACCTTGTTAGCCCATAACCTCTATTAGAATGGAGGGATGCTGCCTTAGTTCTGAGTCTTAGGAAGTTAAGAAGTTTTTAGATGTTTAATAGATGGGAGTTGAGCCTTGCTGTCTGGGGCCGGCCTGAACCACAGTGTCTGAGGGGATCTTGCTGCATTCACAGACACCAGCTCCATCCGCAGTTTACAGACGGGTGTGGGAGAGCTACATGGGGAGACCAGATTCTGGCATGGAAAGGACTACTGCAATTTTGTCTTCAAAGACTGGGTTCAACTTGATAAGCCTTTTGCTGGTGAGTATGATGGTGGTGGGGTACTGGTTGTATTTTGTCTTTTTCTTTTGAGCATCTCAACAAGTATGCATGCATATGATCTAAATGCCTTTTGTTTTACTTTGTTTTTATTTTTGAAAATTTTGTAGAACTTTGGAGACATGATTTAGTCATTAGTCATAAACTTAAGGACTTTCCCTTGTAGTTGCAATAAGACAAGAACACAAAATAGAGCTGACCTTTCTGAAACCTCCAGATTTCCTATAGGCATATTTTGGGGGTAATAATCTATAATTCTCCAAGACATGGAAGCCTTCCTTTAATCATCTTACTTTCTGCTTATCCTCTCCATTCTCCAGCATTAGAAGGGCATATTTCCAGATTATTACTGTGCTTAATGTGTCTAAGAGAAGATAGAGATGGCACTGCCTGCCACTGTTTCAACAGGATAAGAAATAGATGTATATAATATAAAGTACACAGCCTTGGATAATTTGTATCAACTCACACCTTGCTACGTTTAGTGATTATCTAATACTAAGTGACATGGAAACATATTGGAGGGGGTGCCTGGGAGACTATGTAAAAATTGTTCAACCCAAGCTAAGAAATATACACATACTAGGCATTAACACGTTTCCTGTTATGTATCATAGTTGGAGCCAGAGGGCTTCTGTCCCCAGAACAGGAGTTAATGGCTGACCCTTGCCTGGTACACCTGGGCAGATTTCATTGACAGGTACTCCACTCCCCGGATGCCTTGGCATGACATTGCCTCCGTGGTCCACGGGAAGGCGGCACGTGACGTGGCACGCCACTTCATCCAGCGCTGGAACTTCACCAAGGTACTTGGATGGTGTGGTCATGATTCAGTCTGCACGAAGAGAGGCAGGTCTAGCCAGAGAAGTCCAGAAGGGTGGAAGAAGGGGCTGCTGTGCCCACAGCTATGCCACCATCTACCGTTGTGGGCATCACTGTCACAGTGGCTGGGCCCCTAAACAAAAAAGGACACATTCCTGAACTTTCACATCACAGACAATTCAGAGTACAGAGGGATAGATATCAGGGGTTTAATCCTTTTAACATCTTAACTCTTAGTGTTGATTAAGCATTTAGTGGCCTGGGCTCTGCAGTCATGTAGACGGCTATTCCAGGGAGCCTGGTTTAGAGGAGAAGGCTCAAGCCTTAAAGTCCCTCCCAATCCTGGAATTGCTCTGGGTTCTTACTGGTCCAGGATTCTGAGAATTGGTTCTGAGCAAAGCAAACAGTAAAGGAAGATGGAGCCGTTTTTCTTTTCTCCAGATTGTGTCTTCATTACTAGTCAGAACTTAACCTAACTTTAACATTCCTAGTTGAGTAAACATCATCTGGGTATTGTTAAGGTTTCACTTTATTTATTTGAAATGACTATGAGGCGTTTTCCCCCTGATAATTTGGAAAATGGTTTAGTTCTGTCAACAATTTAGAGTCTCATTTTATTTTTCATTCTTGTAAACAGTATAAAGATTTAGCAGAAGCCCTAATGGAAATATTTTAAACAAAAATTTAGGGGAGATGAATGAATAAAAGGGATGTTACTTTTAACCTATTGTACTGGCAAAGATAAAAAAGAATTTCTATAACAGTTGGGTTTGGGGATTTTTGTGATCTTTTACCCGGCTCCTGGGAAGATAAATTGGTACAGCACTACTAAGTTTTTTTAAAAGTATGCAACCTTTGATCCAGAAAAACATCTCCAGGTATTCAAGCTAAAGAAGTAAACCAATAAAGTAACTTATTTTTATATGGTTTCTAATAATTCAATGAAATTAAAATAAGTGAAGTGTGCATTAATAGGAATTTATTAAATAAATGATTCTTTTATACCATTTTACTATGACGCTATTTAAAAAAATGATATAGTGCTATATTGATGTGGCACGATATCTACAATATAGCAAAAATTAGTTTATAAAACAATAATCCCACATTTGCAACTATATGCCTCTATAACTAGAGATTATCTTTAATCCTTCTTTACTAATGTAGAATAATACACACTTGCTACAAAGGTAAAAGAAGAAAATATGGGAAATAGAAAACAAATATAAATAATCTATAGCCCTTTACTTACAAACATCCAGTGTTAACAATTTTCTTATTCTTTTTCAAATGAAACGAATTTCTTCTTTTCTTTTCTTTTTTTTTCTTTTTTTCTTTTCTTTTTTTTTTTTTTTTTTTTTTTTTGAGACAGAGTCTCATTCTGTCACCCCAGCTAGAATGCAGTGGCATCATCATAACTCACTGCAACCTCAAACTCCTGACCTCAAGTGATCTTCCTGTCTTGACCTCCCAGAGTGCTAGGATTACAAGCATGAGCCACCATAGCAGGCCCGAATTTCTCTTATAATCACAAAATAGGGAAGAATGGATCTCTTTTCTCATTTGAATTTTTTTTAAGACTAGTCAAGTGCAGTAGTGAGGAAGGGGGAAAATAGTAGAACAAGGAGTGCAATCTGTAACTGTGAACAATCAAGTGAGATAACTCACTATTTTTGGACGAGCCTCATTTGAATTTTTTATCTCTTTTTCTTTATTTTAGATTATGAAATCAAAATATCGGTCCCTTTCTTATCCTTTTCTGCTTCCAAAGTCTCAAACAACAGCCCATGACTTGAGATATCAGGTGCCAGGATCTGTCCACGCTAATGTACAGGTAAGTCTGGCTTTTTTTGACAAAGTGCCACTGGGTAAAATTACTCTCATTGGACTAAGTGCCTATTACATTGGCTTCAGGTTTTTCAATGACAACTTTTCCAAAGCAAATCTAGATGGACCTTTTAGTATTCAGTATTAGATTTCCTGTGCAAATTGGATTCAATTCACTCTCTTTAAAAAGCTCTTTTGTAAATATAATAAATTCACATCCTCAGAAAAGGCCATAGTCAAGGAAAAGCTGTTCCTCTAATTCCTTCTGAAGTGACCCTGGCAACATGATACACAGTAAACTTGGGCCTCATACTGCTTAAGCACCAAGAATGTGGCTGAACCTTAGCAGCTAGGAAGCTAGTTATAGTTCAATCTAATTTTAGTTCCTAATTAACCAAATGCCTTTTAGAGGCTCTTTTAATGGAATAAGGATTTTACTTAATAGAGTCACAAAATTTTACCACATCCAGTTTAACCATCTCAAACTACAAAAAAGAACAGTCAAACCCAGTGGGGCTCTGAGGCTTATCCAGGTAATTATCAATAGAGTTAGAGCTTGAAATCCTAGTCTAGTCCAGTGTTATCCAATCTGCTCCCTTTACCAACTACAGTTCAAATATCTTGAGATCGTGTGGGGACAGACTAGGATGGGTAAACTTTGGCGTTGCCTTTTGTTCAGAGTCATCACTCCCAGCATCCAAAGCATTGTGTAACTGAAGATCCAGCAGTCTGCTACTGCTGCACATCACCAATATGGACTTATGTAATGCAGTTATGTACCTTAGTGAATATAATTATATAAATGAAGTGCTTACATCAGTTACTTTGCACAGTGTGTAAGTAAAGTTGTGCATATATAAGAAATACAGACATTCCAGACTATAAATCAAATAATAGGACATTAAGAAAAGAGTGATAAACCAAGAGAAGTACCCGTAGCAAATATTTAGTCATCCCAGTCTAAGAAGAAAACTAATTTAAACTTGGAGGCACAGATAGCTATGATTTATGTGTAAGTTGATGAATATTTTATGAACCTGTTTAATTTTATTCTACGTGCAGGAGGAAAAATTACCCATGCTGGAAGATAAAATAAGAATTTTGGTATTAGGAAAATATTAATAAGAGAATTTAAGATTTGAATTTGCATTAAAATTGATGAGGTAGTCAAGTTATCAAAGTTAGCTGATGTTAATTAAGTATCTGTTGAAAACATATTGCGGGGAATTGTGTATTTTATGATCGATGAAAGATGTTTTAGCCTAGTGCTGCATATGCATACATTTTCCACTCCACTGCTGGTAAAGCCAGGACTTACATATTCTCATCCTGCTTTCCTGCTAAGGCAGATAGATACTCTATAAAATGCTTCTCTTCATTCATCTCTGTGTCATTGGATGTCATGTCAGAAATGGGACTAGATCAGATGATCTCTTCTGATAAACTCATATGTTCATCCCTGATATGTCCAGGTGGCCTGGACTCAGGAATCTACAAAGCCAATTTATTTAAAAGGACATTTACCAAGACTCAGTCACTCATTTGTTCATTCATTCAGGCAACATGTTTATTAAGTGCCATCCGTTTGCACAGTGAAGTCATCAAGCACATTTGGGTGCTGAGGGGGCAGGCAGAAAAGTAGTTCTCTGCCTCTGGAAACTTAGCTGAGGAGAGAAAGCTGTGATGTGAATAGTTAAGTTACTATGACAAGGTGCAGTCTCTGACTCAATGCCATTTTGAAGGTATGGACCCCCATGCTGTGAGAGTTTGGCAAACCCAAGGGGCAGATCTGGGTGTACACTGTAAGGAATAATCCCACCTGCTCAGAAGACAGGAGGATCGACTGCAGCAAACCATGTGCTCTGCGAGAGGTGGTCCATGACGTTAGGCAGCAGAGGCCAGATGGGGGTGCCCGGAGTGCTAGCCAGGTGAATTTGGGGCTACGCCTGGTCTGTTTTATGAAGACTAACCTAGGGCAGAGTTTTCCAAACTGGATTTTGCCTGTGAAATAATGATAACTATTCCACAAAAAAGATTTCCATGGACAGATAAGTTTTCGCAAAGTTCTTTGATACAGGACTCCTTGGTGTTTTTCTTATGCTAATGAGTCTATAAAACCACTAGGAGGGAATGTGGTGTGAGCATTTCCCAGGCTTATTTGACACAGGCTCTCTCATTTTATTTCTTGTCATCTGTTTCCATCTCTCTGAACAAACATTCTGGGATCAAAAGCGTACACAGATGAAGAACTTCTTAGACCAGAGAGAGAATGAGAGCTCGGGGACGAGTGAAGAGGCTGTGACAGTGATGCTGGCTTATAGCTAAGGCCGACCCTAGAAATGAAAGGGAGGGACATACGGAGGGATTTCTGAGGAAAGAGACAAAGCAGTTTCTAGCAGACTAGAAACTGAAATTTGGGCAGAGGAAAGAGTGTAAAGATAATTAGTTCAGTGTCACTGATGGAGTCTCCAGGGAAGCGCAGCACCTGGGTCATAACTGCCCGGCCAGGACACTAACTGACACCACAAAGGAACTCAGGTAGCTCCTGTAGTATGTCTAGTTATGGGTATATAAATTTTGCAGCATGATAATGTGTATAATAAAGAAAGCTGAAAGTGTCTCTATGCAGAGCTTCTGGAAATGTAGGAAAATTGTCCAGCTAAATATAATAAAATACATTGTAAACTCTGAAGTCAGCACAGCACAGTGGTGTGTGTGGTATGAAGATTCTACAGCAACATGTGGCCTCAGCAAGTCATTTCCGCTCCCCGAGCTTCATCTTCTCATCTGAAAGCTCTATGTTGGTGGGAATCAGATCTGAGGTCCCTTCAGTATTTCAAGGGAAGTTTGGCATTCAGAATTTTAATAAATGAGGTGTTATTAACATTGTAAGTATTAATTACCTCTTAGTTAGGCCTACTGATATAATTATAATCCCTCAAAAAATAAAACTCAAATGCCCACCAGAGGTACACCTCTTAATATTTTAAGTAGTGATGGTGATGTTTATTACTAAATGGAAATAGAAACCATTGCTCAGAATTTATACCTTGATAATTAAGCTTATTTCTGTGGATCTTTGAGAGAAAGGAAAAATATCTAAGTAAATTAAAATGTAATAGCTACATTTAGTCATATGGCAATGATAAGACAAAAATTAGAAGGCAGGGTAAGAGTTAAGAAAATAGGACATCATGGATGAACACTTAAATTCCAAGAGTATAAGATTATAATTTCTTTTATCCCTCTGGTACTCAAACCTAATATTTCTATAATTAACTTTTTATCATCTCAGTTCATAAAGTAAAACCTACCTCCAGACTGACTGAGGTTAAGGCTACGACGTAAGGAATGAGTTGCACATTTTCAGGAGCCGACATTTGTTGCCCACATTGGGCTGTAGCTTAGCTTTAGGACCCTCCCATGTCTAGGACCCTTCAAGAACTTGACCTAATTTGGTATTTGTAAATCAAAGAATTTTTTTCTTACAAAGGCCTCCCTACATTTTAAAAATGTTACTCCTAGCAAACCCTGGAGTTTTCAGCAGATGTTTCTCAGAAATACTGAAATAATCTAGCTGTGAAAATGGTGGACACAGATGGCTAGAAGCTTTTAAAAAAAAAAAAAAATTACCCTGCTGCATTTCTTCTTTTCTGTAAAGTGTTGACCACAGTATTGTTTTAATTTTTTCATATTATTTACTATCTCCAAATATTATTTATGTTATTTCAGTCTGTATGTCATGAATATACGTTGCTTAGAGGGTAAGAGCAGTAATCTCGTCCAATCTCTGGTTTTCAAAAAAATCCAAAAGTGTGTAGGGGGATAGGGACCTGGCTATGTGGCAGGCTACTTAATTTTTAAAGGGTTTGTTGTCATGTTTTCAAACGTTTCACTCTTAGCTATCACATGGCAATAACTAAATGGTTGTTATACACTCAATTAAGAAATTTAATAAAATTCTTCCTTAGGTTTATTGTTCTTTAACATTGATTTTAACATAGTTTTTAAAGCAGTACTAAGAGATAAGTTTTTTTATTTACCTTTTATTCATACATAATATTTGTTCACATTTATGGGGTACATGTGATATTTGTTACGTGCATAGATCCAGTCAGGGTATTTGGGGTACACATCACCTCACGTATTTATCATTTCTGTATGTTGAGAACATTCCAGGTCCTCTTTTCTAGCTATTTTGAAATATACGATATATTGTTGTTAACTATAGTCACCCTACTCTGCTATCAAACATTAGAGCTTATTCCTTCTATTTAACTGGATGTCTGTACCCATTAACCAACCTGTCTGTATCCCTTGCCCCCACTCACACACCCTTCCCAGCCTCTGGTATCTGTCATTTTGCTCTCTACTTCCATGAGATCAACTTTTTTTTATCTTCCACATATGAATGAGAATAAGAGTTTAACATAGTTTTTAACATAGTTTATTATTCATAACGTAACTTAGAGGCCAAGGCTAATTTAATTGTAAAGGAGCAGTATGATACAGCAATTAAGAGGTAGATTCTAAAGCCATACTGTGCTATAAAACCCCAGCTCTGCTACATACTGGCTGTGTTACCTTATGAAAAGTTTTTCACTTTTCAGTATGTGTTTCATTCATCTATAAAACAAGGATAATAATAGTATCTGCCTCTTAGGATTGTGGTGATGGTTAAATAAACTAATACATGCAAAGCATTTAGAAGAATACACTAGTTTGCGTTCTGCCAAAAAACAGCCTTCAAATTTTCCCTAGTGTTTCAAAAGTTTGCAACAAAGAAGTTGACATTTCTCTGGGTAGGTCACCAGGCTAGTTCTGGATAAATATTTTTATGCCACATATTTATTGAAATGGAGAGAGAAGGTATTTGACATAATAAAGTACATAATAGATAAAATTCAAGTTCTTCTTTCATATGCAGAATTTTTTAATATAAATTCATGGAGCGCACACTGCTGGTGGTTCCACAGCCAGCCAGGGAGAGGGGAGCCAGGCAGAATG